CAGTTCAAAGGCATCAATTCTTCGGCGCTCAGCCTTCTTGATGGTCCAGCTCTCACAGCCATACATTACTACTGGAATAAACCCAGCACCCCGCCCTAAAATCATGTTATTTTAGATAGCTTTGACAGGACTTCTTCAAGCTCGGGTAAAATGGGCAGCATGATGGCGAGTGAAGTTCCTAAGAGGCATGGGCAGAAAGCAGTGTTTGCCAGAGCAAAATGCTGCAGCTCCCTGGGTACTCTGAAAGAATAAAAATGACAAGGATTAACAAAGGAAACTAGCTTGAGGTTCTGGTAGGTGGTGCAAAAGTCGAAAAATCGACTCAGCCATTGTTGGTGGCAAGAAATCTGTGCTAGGACTATTGCAAAACAAGACAGCATGCATGCAGAGTTATATAAATCAGGGATTTGCATTCAGCAGCCTTTAACTGGCCAGGGTTCAGAGTTAATATTTTTGACGGGATTATAGGAAATATGAAAACAAGGGCAAAGGGAAGGTTCAAAGGGAGTGATTCTGGATCACATGCATAAGCAGGGTGGGTATTTTCAAGGTTATTCTTTTCTATTGCAGGGAGGGGCAGAACGCCATTTTTCCTTCTGCTTAAATATTGTGCTAAACTTATTCTAGGGTTTGCAAACGGATGTTTCATGTTCCCTGCCTCAACATGATCAACAAAATCAGCCTTGCCATTTTCTCCAATGGTGGTTAGAGTTCAGGGGGTGGGGTGGGGGATCGGAGGGGATCCTGGGGCCTGGGATTGCCCACGCTGATATCAATGCAAATGCAGCTGGACTTGGAACATTTTGGGCAATTCTATCATTCTTCTTCAGTGGCTGAGGGGCAGGAAGGAATACCCCCAAACCAGAGAAAATGTCTAAATCAGCTGGAGAGCTATGACACACCATAGAAGTTTATGAAATAATGTGTCACGTGGAGAATATTTATCAGCTCCCCACCCCCTTAAAAAAAAAACACCTTAGGGCCATGCCATGAATGGGCAGACGGGCTATATATGGAGGCCAGCGAAAAATAAAGATTTCTTTGTAGGATGTCTAATCCATTTATGAATGAAAGCATTGGTACGAGATGGCTTTAAAGGGATGATAAAATGAATGTATGGAAAGGAAGAGATCTGTTAGCCTGATGGGTTAAACCAAACTGCTTTATCAGAAGCAGTTGCTAACTGAATATCTGTTTCTGGGAACAAGATATATTGGGCAGTGCTCCTGGGCTATTTGGA